TGAATAAGTATGGTGAAAGAATACAACCTTGTCACACACCTTTCTTAATTTTAAACCATTCAGTGTTCCCATGTTCTGTTCTAACAATTGTCTCTTGGTCTAGGTATTAACTCCTCACGAGCACAACTAAGTGTTCTGGAATACTCATACTTCACAATGTTGCCCATAGCTTGTCATGATTCACACAATCGAAAGTCTTTGCATAGTCAATAAAGCACAGGTAAACATCTTTCTGATATTATCTGCTTTCAGCCAAGACCTATCGGACATCAGCAATGATATCCCTCATTCCATGGCATCTTCTGAATCAGACTTGAACCTCTGGAAGTTCTCTATCAATGTATGATTGCAACTGTTTCTGTATTATCTTTAACAAAACTTTACTAGCATGGGATATCAAAGAGATTGTCTGATGATTTCCCCATTCTATTGGGTCACCACTGTTTGGAATGGGTAAAAATATGGATCTCTTGCCATCAGTTTGCCAGATAGTTGTCTTCCAAATTTCTTGTTATAGATAAGTGAGTGCCTCCTGTGCCGCCTCACTTTCTTGAACAACTTCAATTTTTGTTCCATCAATTCCTTGTGCCTTGTTCTTTGCCAATTCCTTCAATGCACTTTGGACTTCCTCCTTCAGTATCATTGGCTCTTGATCATATGCTACCTATTGCAATGTTTGAACATTAACCATTTCCTCTTGGTATAGTGACTTTGTGTATTCCTTCCATCTTCTCTTGATGCTTTCTACGTCATTCAATAATTTTACCAGGTAATCTTTTAATAACAAAAGTCAAGGCTTGAATTTTCTTCTTATGTTCCTCCAGCTTGAGAAATGCTGAACGTATTCTTCTTTTTGATTTTCTGATTCCAGATCTTTGCACATATTATTGTAATATTTGGCTTTATCTTCTCGAGTTGATCTATGCAATATTCTGTTCAGTTCTTGGACCTCCTCATTTCTACCATTTGCTTTAGCATCTCTATGCTGGAGAGCAAGTTTCAGTGTCTCTTCTGACATCCATTTTGACCTTTTCCTTCTTTCTTGTCTTCTCAATAATTTTTTTGCTCTCTTCTTGTATGATGTTCTTGATGTCATCTCGCAACTCTTCAGGTCTTCAGTTTTTAGTGTTTAAAGTATCAAATCTGTTCTCCAGATGATCTCTAAATTCAAGTGGGAATAATCAAGGTCATATTTTGGCTCTTATGGACTTGTTTTCATTTTCTTCAGCTTCAGTTTGTATTTGCATATGAGTAATTTATGGTCTGTTCCACATTCTGTTCCTGGCCTTGTTTTGACTGATGATATGGAGCTTTTCCATCATCTCTTTCCTCAGATGTAGTCAGTTTGATTTCTATGTATTCCATCTTGTGAGGTCCATGCATATAATCATTGTTTATGCTGTCTAAAGAAGGTATTTGAAATAAACAAATCATTGGTTTTGCAGAATTCTATCATATGTTGTACAGCATCATTTCTATCACCAAGGCCATATTTTCCAACTACTGATCCTTCCTCTTTGCTCCCAAACTTTGCATTCCAATCACCAGTAATAATCAATACATCTTGATTGCATTTTTGATCAATTTCAGATTGAAGAAGTTGGTAAAATTTTTCTATTGCATCCTCACTGGCTTTAGTGTTTGGTGCATAAATTTGAATATTAGTGGTATTAACTGGGCTTTCCTGTAGGAGCATGGATATTATCCTATCACAGACAGCATTTTACCTTATGACTAACCTGGATATGTTCTTTTTGACAATGAATGCAACACAATTCCTCTTCAATTTGTCATTCCCGACTTACTAAACAATATGGCATAAGTAGCAATACTTAGGGATACACCCGGGGGTGGGGGGGGGATTGATGTAAATATCCATGGATATATCTCAAAGACATATGAGCATATTGATGAGAGATACATATCAAGACAAATGTATAACACAGAAAAGGTGAACAAAGTGCTTAAGGAACAAATAACAAACATTATAAGTCTAGAAGAAAATAAGTAGAGCATTGGGGAAAAATATACTTTATAAGAGAGTTTTTCTGCATTGAAGTACCTAATAAAACATTAATTAAGTTTACATTTAATTTTAAATATATGAGATGTGTGGTTGTCAAGTCTTTAAATATTTCATTACGTGTATGAGAAGTAGGGTAGAGATAGTTCTGCATGTGATGACCCCATTTGTTCACACACACAGTCTATAAAATCTCTACTGGTTTTTGATTACCTAGTAAATACACTTTGATTAAATACAGGTTGACGTTTGCCTTCATGGGGGAAACTGTCATGCACTATCTACTTTTCATAGAAGGTCTGGATTTTCTCTTGAATTTATTAACTTTAGACTCCTAAACAGCCAAAGCTCTTCAATAGCTTCTTAAATATATTTTTTTATGTGGTTAATAATTTTTAACAATTGTTTGTGTATATAATTTTGTTTATAATAAACACATGTCAACTGCCACATTTTACATATTAATATTAAAACTTTTTTACCTCTGACATTAGTAGGATTCAATGTGTGAAGTTTATAAATGTACTTCCAAATTCAGGATTTT